TTCCTTTTTTGGCCGATTTTTTTCATTACTCCTGTAGGACCACAAACACCATTACCGTGCCCACGCGGCCGGACGACGACGCGGATTTGCCGAGATTGGCCCAAAGACCATGGCCGGACTTCAGAGGATTGACCTGGAGGAAGTTTAGCGAGCACCAAGTGCCCAGCTGGTACAGTTGGCGCTGCAGGCCTTCTGGCGAGCGGGAGATAAGTGCCATGTCGTCTGCGTGTTCCAAATGAGACAAAGCATAACCCATTAGCCAAATGTCGTCTGGATCCTCGACAAGGGTGAATGTTGATAAGAAGATGTTCCACAGCGTAGGTGAAACCGGGTCCCCCAGAATACCTAGTCCCAGTCACAGCCCCACAATTCTCTACTCCACCTCCCCCACTGAATTCTCCCCGTCGCTCGCCTCCAGCTCGTCGGCCGAGTCCGGCGCTAATTCCGAAGCCATTGATGGCAGTTTACGGCCAAACCAGCTCCAGGTCTTGCAAACACCATAGACAAAGCGCGCCATGGGGACCACCGTCTCCCAGTTGAATATCAACCCGCGTATGAGATCCTCAGCTGCTTCCCGTGATGCAGGCGTACTGCCGAGCCGAACCCCCGTATCTCCCCGCCAACGTCTCCCTCAGCTCCACGCGCAGCTCCACCGTCTCACGCGCCCGACACTGCATGAAGACATGCCCCGGCGTCTCAATTGCCTCCCCACATCGACGGCAAAGCAAGGTCTCCTGAGTAAACCTCTCCGGGTGCGAGTGGAGACCACGGAAGAAGAAAGATCCACACAGGAGCCTTGTCAGGGCGAGGCGGTGATTCGTGTGCGGCACGCGGGAAAGATAATGACGTCGGCAGATTCGGATAATGCGGGAGGGCTTGTCCTTCAGCGGCTCCAGCCTTCCGTGCAGCAAGGGAAGCGAGACCATGGAGTTGATCTTGTTATAGACCCATCGCCCCGCCCCATGGCGCAGATCCGCCAGCAAGCCATCGACGAGTGCTGTCGTCAAGCGGGCAAGTGATGGGAGTCTTGGCATCGGAAAGGGCAAGCGCGCAAGAACCACGGCCAGATCGCCCATCCACGAAGACCTGTTTTTGCAACGAAGACTATCCGATTCAGCAAGAGCCTTGTAAGCCAGTTGAGAGGATGGGAGATCCAGCAGGTAACGCAAGAACCGCAGAGCCAGCTGAGCGACGAACCCCCAGAGGGTAGATACCAAGTTCAGAGTAAAGTTGAGCTATCCCAGAGCGCCGCCCTAGACCTAGAATGCACCTAAGAATTGACCAGTTCAACCGCTCCAGCCGAGCAAAGGACTCGGACTGTGGATCCACATCTAACATGACGTCGCAGCCATGTGTAAAATGCGGGTCAAGCAGGGCGTAGTAGAGCTGACATGCTATATCGGCCAGGAGGCGGCCCCGTCCCACATATAACTCGCACCCCATCACCGTCTTCCAGAACACGCGTGCCGCGGTGTCATGTTTGTGTTCGTAATGAGCGCGGAAGATATCGCGGCAAGTACTGTACTATTTAGATTAAGTGTCCGCGTTACGCGTTACACGCGGTCGCGGGCGCGGACACCTATGGTCTCCGTTACGCGTTCAAGGCCGGATTCCCATCAAAAACAGGCCGAAAAAGGAAATTTTTTTTTCCGGCTGACGCCGGACTTGCCTTTTTTGGGAATCCGGACACCTTGTCCAGCGGACAGTGTCCGTTACGCGTTACACGCGGTGGACACTTGATCTAAATAGTACAGTAGAATCGAACCACATACCAACGTACTTGTGCTGTGACAACCAAGGGACACTTTTCCCAGCTAGACGGAGACACGCGGCGGGACGGTAATGGTGTTTGTGGTGACATTTGTCCCCATTTGGTATCTCCCAAAAGAGACATGCCTAATTAGGCATCTCCCAAAAGGGATAGGCCCGATTAGGCATGTCCCAAAAGAGATAGGCCCAATTTGGAAGTGACCCCGGGAGTCCGGGACATACCAGATGCGACTACAGGCAGTTGTGACACTTCCCTTTGGATATCCATTCAGATGCAACATTTACCTTCAGATGTGACACACGGGCACAGATGCAACAGTCTGGTCCAAAAACAGATGCAACAGTAGAAACACGAATATTTTGTTTTAAGTCATATTTGTTAGTATTTGTTAGTGTTGGTTAGTGTTGGTTAGGGTTCGGTTAGGGTTCGGTTAGGGTTCGGTTAGTTAGGGTTAGGATAAGGGAAAGGTACGTCTATATATACTGTTGGGGGAAATACTGAGTTAATGTTGTAACTATTTGTTAGGGTTTGGTTAGGGGTTTGGTTAGTTAGGGTTAGGATAAGGGAAAGGTACATCTATATATGCTATTGGGGGAAATGCTAAGTTAATGTTGTAACTATTTGTTAGGGTTTGGTTAGGGTTGGTTAGGGTTATTTTTTGTCAGAGGAATATTAACTACCAGTGTGATACAATCAATTGATTGCTGTTATGGTGTCGCATCTGGGCCATCAAAAATAGACACACCCGCAGGCATGGAACAGATGCGACACCTGTCACATCTGTTTTCCTGCCTGTTGTCGCATCTGTATAATCCTCCCGGGAGTCGGTCCCAATCAATAATTGATGGGCCTATAAATCGAGTGATAGTTGTGTGATCCGTGTGATGGCAGTGTGATCTCTTGTGTAAATGGCTGATCTGACTTGTTTTAGGTATAATAGGTGTAAAATATACACAACTATACCCTATAGAAGGCAGTTTCTCAGTGATATATCGGTAACTATGTGTGATGGCACTGTGAGATATGATATGAATGTCTGATCTGACTTATTTAAGTCCAATAAATGTAAAATACTACACTTTCTCAGTAAGATTCATTGCAATTCAAGCTATATATCATACAAAATTCACCTAGTTTGTGTTTTAATAAGATAAATCATACACTAATATAATAAATGATGGTTAAGTAAAATAATATTTAATATTGAGATAATACGGAGTTTCCAAAATACTGAATCCACTCTGAGAACTACAGAGTATGTTAGGATATGGGAGGCATGGTAATGGTGTTAGCTGCGCAGGTACGCAGTGGTCTGGTCTCTCAACATGCAGTAGATGTGGCGGTGATCTTGGACTTGGGTTCGCACCTCACGCGCGAGGGGTGTGTTAGCAGTAGCGGGAAGAGTGGTAGCAGGAAGAGCGGACGCGTGGTGCTGCACATCTTGCATGTGATTGCAGGACTGGCCGGAGCCTGGGTTAGGGCTGTGCCGGAGTGGTGTATAAGTAGCATGGTCTGCGTGCCTATTAGGCATGCTTTCATTTCCCCTTTGTCTCCTTTGTACCCTCAGGTAGTGGTGAAGCTATCCATCCATTGGGCACTCAATCAGGGGCATGTGGCCTGGTTAATCAGTGCCAATTTCTGACATAGCTCAATACTGTACTATTTTATTCAGTTTGTCAGGGAGGTCTTCCACATGACTGATGAGTTGAAACCCCTACTAAGTCCTATTCACACTTGTATAACACTGTGCTACATATTTTATTCAATTTGTCAGTCACATGTTACACTCATGATGATCTGACAACTAAATTTTGTCAGTCACAGGGTGCTGACATAAACAACAAATTAGTTCAGCCCATCTCCTCAGTCTTCAAAGGTTTGGTGCTTGTGACTGCAATTTTGTATAGGGTCTGGATCATTTTCCTGATATTGGTCCACAATGCAAAGGTGGTAACACTGTTCCCTTTGTGGCCCAAGCTACAGAATTGATTAAATTGCTACAGTAGTGCATGTGGTGTACAAGGTGTGTTATGGTTTTCTCCCTTTTTTCCCTCCTTGGTAAATTTAATATTCATGGGGCTGAGAACTGATATAAGCCTAGACCCAATTTCAGTCGGAATTACAATTTCAGTCAGAATTAGTGTGATTCTATAGCTAGATACACAAATTTCCCTTTTCCTTTTCCCTCCTCTTTCCTTTTTTGGCCGATTTTTTTCATTACTCCTGTAGGACCACAAACACCATTACCGTGCCCACGCGGCCGGACGACGACGCGGATTTGCCGAGATTGGCCCAAAGACCATGGCCGGACTTCAGAGGATTGACCTGGAGGAAGTTTAGCGAGCACCAAGTGCCCAGCTGGTACAGTTGGCGCTGCAGGCCTTCTGGCGAGCGGGAGATAAGTGCCATGTCGTCTGCGTGTTCCAAATGAGACAAAGCATAACCCATTAGCCAAATGTCGTCTGGATCCTCGACAAGGGTGAATGTTGATAAGAAGATGTTCCACAGCGTAGGTGAAACCGGGTCCCCCATAAGCACACCGCACAGAGATTTCCACTCGTCCGAGACAAAACCCCCCGAGGCCACGCGCAGAGTCATTGAGCGGTACAGTTTTCGCACAAAATCAAAGTAAGGACCTGTGAGTCCCATACTTTCCATTTTAAGCCACAACGACTCATGGCTCATTGCTGAGAATGCATTCGATACATCTACAAATGCGACGTAGAGTGTTTCGCCATTCGCGCGAGCCTTATCAATCAGCGTGCGCAGGATAAACGGGTTGTTGTTCGTGCGACGACCTACTCGGAACCCATTTTGTGTCGTCGGCAGCAAGTCATGAGCCTCCAGAACACGATTAAGCCTCAAGTTATACGCCATAGACAACAGTTTGTAGACACAGCTCTGAAGACCGATTCCAATAGCCCGAGGTTTTCGAAGGGTCTTTACCCGGTTTTGGTACGCTGGACATCAATGTCTCATAGAACGAGCCAGGCGCCTCGCATCGCAGCAAGCAGTCGTTGAGGATATCTCGCAGTTTCTCGTTCTCCACCGTCATCAATTCGGCGTATGTGAATCGATCAATACCAGGCACGCTTTTGACGCCCTTCTTCCTCAGCACACTCTTCACATCTTCCATATCCTCCACCGTCAACAGTTCGTTCAGACCCGCAAATGGGGAGTCAGGCGACGGAGTCGGGATGGCCGCCGCATGCGCCACAATATCAGCGAGATGGATAGGGTCGAAGCCAGCGGACACGGGGTCGGGAGGATTCAAACGAGTGACATAGTCCTCTGTCAGCTCGTTTAGACCAATACTTGGGGGTGCGGCAGACGGAGGGCGGCGGATCGAGTTGACCAAAGTCCAGAGCGCGCGAGAGTCGTTACCGGCCTCACGGATACGCCCCAGGAACCATCCGCGGGAGCCACGCTTTGCAGGTCTACCCAGGTGCGTGCCCTGCAGCTTTGGCTTCACATTCCCCACACTCAATTCTGGCTTTGTCCGCTTCGCAGGCGGGGTCAGAGACGAACTGACTCGTGGACCGCTCTCTGAAGCTCCCCCAGGCCGAACAGGCGGCGGCAAAGGATTCGGTACCGCCAGCCACCCTTCGTGTTCCGGCAGCGCAGCCCGCAGACAAGCTCCCCGCTTAGCGAGTGCGTCTGCCGCATCGTTTGACGCATTCTGGGAGTGACCTTTGACGTAGTGGAAAGCCACGGACCCGGTGCGCAATCGCAGCCGGTGCTGAATCGCCAAAAGGATGTCTCCGTTCACGCAGTCCCACCCTGTCTGGGCGAGCACTGGTCCGAAAAAGACAATAGTATCGATGGCGTACTGCGAGTCTGTACGGATGTCCAACGACAGCAATCTTCTCCTGCATCCAGTGGAGTGCATCACAATGTGAGCAACGCACATCCATTCGGCCGAGGTCATGTCGAGCTGACTCAACATAAGGACGACGGGCAACCGGAAGGTCTTGGACCCAGCGTTGTGGCGCAGGATGGGCATGGCGACGGGCTATGAATATATTAGAAATGCTAAAAAGAATCAATGAATGAGACATACCTGCTTCAGCAGCAGCAGCGATTTGATGTTGTTGTTCTTCTTCATCACGTCTGGCATGCTCTTCCTCCAGCTCTCGTTCACGCCGCTCATTCTCTCTCATCTCGTCCTCCTCGATATCCCGCAGCATACTAGCCAGCATCACCTGAGTCTCCTCCTCTTCCAGTCGGCGTTGTTCCTCTCCTCTCTGCTGTTCCTCAACCCTCCTTTGCTCCTCCTCCAGCCGTTGACGTTCTTCCCCCAGTCGACGCACATTTTCGGCTTCAAATGCTTCCTGTTGCTCACGCAGACGGGCCTGTTGCTCTCGAAGCCGCCGTTGTTGTTGAGTATTTGAAGGGCGAGAAGGTCCAGGTATTGGTGGGGGAGTCTGGAGATGGGAAGTGGAGATTGAAGAAACCGTCATCGCTGCTCGACAAACGGTCTTCAATTCGGCGATTTTGCTGGGCAAGTTGACGGCGGGACAGAGGGAGCCCAGTTTGAGTGTTTGGCGTTGCCAGTGGTAGACCAAATGTAAGCTATAGAATTCAAAGATTCAGCGTTCGGCTAGTTACCGATAGCTTTTTTGGGAATTAATATTTTTTCCCTTCGGCGCCCACAGCATAGGTATCTAGCCGAGCGTTCTCATTGGCTCTTCCTTTTCTGGTACACACAGCCACCCTTCCTCTCTTTGTATAATAGACTAGCAGGGACCCGTGCTACGCTACGGGGCTCAAGCGATGATGGCAGGGGATTCAAATTAAGGTAGGTAGAATACATATACTACTGACTATTTTTAAGCAGATACTTGAAAATGTATTTAATTTTGCGTCGTGACATTCATATGCCCAAGATTGTGTCGAGCGCGAGGTTTCGTGTAAGGCTGGCGAGCCGGTGGAAGATCAGTGTTGCCAACATGCTGGCGGCGGACATTTGTGGCTTGCCGTGGTTGTGAAAGTGGGTCTGGTCGTAGTACGTGAGGCCTTAGAGGTGACTGCAGTATCGAAGATAGTTAACATGATTCTTAATGATGTAAAGTTAGAACGGTCAGAAATGAAGATAAAAACATACCTGGCTGTGTGTCTGGTGGCGTCGAAAGCTGATGTTGTTCTTCATTGGCATGCTTGAGAGGGCGGATAGGGCGGGGGACCAAAGAAGAGTGAGAAAATATTAGGGAAAAAAGTTAAAGAAACCGGCAGACCTGGTCTTCCAGGTTCCTGCGGCTGAAATGGCAGGATTCCGCACCAATTTCTCCTGTCGAACAGTTTGCTGTTCCTCTCATTTTCAGCACTGTCGTTCCCATCATTGTCGCCGGCCTATTGAGCGTTTGACGCGCCTTAGATTTGCGTTGCTGGAGGGGACGGAAGAAGCAGCTAAACCAAAACATTAGCTCGAGCCGCTGGAAAAATACAAACACAAACCGTTAATCGATGTGCATTTGCAGGCAGCATTAGCAATGGTGGTGGTGGTGGTGGTGGTGGTGGAGGGGGAGGGGGAGGTAGAATGAGCTACAAACACGTACATATGTAAAAGAATCAAAAAAAAACACGGACATACATTGACCCAACGTCTTCAAGGGGCTGGAGTTGGAGAAGAAGCTCTGTTCTCCACAGAAGTCACATTTGGAGTCGTTCGAAGCTGTTGGCTGGGAGTATCCTGCTGAGCAAACGCTACTTCGTGACTCTGCTTGCGCTGGACAGCTCGTTCTGGTTGTGCATCTCCTCCAAGGTTGGTATGATCTCCTAGTGCTGTGCGATTGACCAAGATTCGACATGGAGACATGTAGGGAGGCGAATTGGCATCGTTTCGGTGCTGCTGAATACAGCGAGGGTTGCAGGGAAGGGAGAGAGGAGTCAGGAGTCAGCAACCTGTTCAAAATAGAGGATTAGAGTGTGTTTGCAGGCCAGAATATCACTCACACTGAGATTCTGTACTTGCAGTACGCCCTGTGACTCAACAGTGTGAGTTCAAGATTGTGTTGGCCAGTGTCGCAAACTGAGACTCAGGTATCATCTACCCAGAGACAGGCAGGTTGCAGAGGGGGCAAGTGTGGTTGTATTGAAGAATGTAGAGAAATACAAAGCTCGTGCATGGTTGAAATTGAATGGGATGTGGCTACGCGGTAGGTAGTTTTGTCGTTGTCAGGGTTGGCAGAAAGTCATGTTGTCTGGGGCCTTAGGAGGCGGGAAATCGAATAAGTCGATGTCTGGAAGTCAAGTAGTCCGGTAGTTATGAGCCATGGGCGGCACTGAGGATCTGGCAGAAGAGAGGAGAGGAGAGGCGAATTGACTTTTGAATGACGCGATCTCATTGGCTCATCACTCCTGATGTCACGAAAAGTGACACCGAAGTCTCTTGTATAATAAGATTGTATATACATCCAGCGTCTAGCCGGCCAGTCCACATCCGCCGTAGCTCGTTTTTATCCGACACCGGCGGACGCCGTGCATAAGGGAATAAGGGATGTGACAGTCATCCCGGCTCCCCTTCATGACCACGACAACCACATCACGCTCGCCCTTTGTCGACCCGCACTATGCAAGGCAGAGCTGCTCACAGGCAACTGGTGCGTAAAAGCTCATTTACCTTCTTGTCCTGCCCGTCTAACCGCCCTCTTCTCTCGCTAGATCCATCTTAACCGCCTCTTTCGCCCACAAGCAGCACTCTGGTGAAAGGAGCGAAGCCGCCCTCCGCGGCTGGCCGAGCCTTTTTCCTCCAGATTTTGCACCACTACCGCGCTCTGCCATACGTTTTCGCTTCCCCCAGCTTTGTCGTCTGCGAAATCATCCTTTTCACGACATTGGCACCCGAACTCCCCAAACTCAATACCCTTCCTTTCCACGAGCGACAGCGACACCGACCCGCCAGCCTCCGAATGTGTCCTTCGCCACGAGACCACATACGCGCCAACTTGAACGTCCCCGTTTTCGCCAGCAGGTGGCGCCATACCGGCGCCACCACTCCCTTCACGATTTACGGGCCCATTCACGACTTCGTTCTCCCTCGCATCCAATGCGGATGCTGGGCAAGAAAACAAAACAACCACGCTCGACGGAAAACGATGTCGACAGTTGTGAAGCTCTTCGCTGGTCCTGTGCCCACGACAACCCGCCTTGCTGCAACGTACGCGACTGCGTTCCCTCGAAAGCCTGTTCTCGCGGCCTGCTTTTTCTCATCTTCTGCCTCCCCGACCTCCCAGCCACGCTACCGACCCCGAATCTCCCCTTCGCCACGCTCAACGAGCCTATCGCTCTTCCTCTCACTCTATCTTTACCCCACCTCACACCTGCCCCTTCGCCAGTGCCAGTGCTCGCCCTCCACCATCCACGCATCCCCTCGGCCACCCTTCCCAAAACAGCAAAGTCACGTGCCGCCCTGCGCCGAAAACGTCTTCGATGTACATCGACGGGTGCGCGGCGTGGGGCTCTGTCGCGTGTATGCGGTGCTGCCCTACGTCCACCTCCCCCGACCTATCTATTGTGGCGGGGCTATGCAGCGCGGAAGACGGTCGTTGGCGCGGTTTTCGTCGGGCTTCATTTGCGCGGCGCGGAGGTGGATTTGGGGACAGAGGTGTGGAATGGTCTGGGCGGGTGGTTCCTGGCTTAGTAGGGAGGAGAGTGGTGGCGTCGCGGGCGTGATTTGAAGTGCCAGAGAGGAGGAGACGTCTTTCTCGTCCCGCGTTTGGCGCTCGGAGGAAACGGGCTTCAGTCTGAGTCTCCGTCGTTATTTTGCGGCGGGCGGAAGCTCCCGGTACTTTTTCCAATTCTCTTGGCCTTTCTCTTCGGTGCGTGCTTTGACGCTGAGTATCCATACCCGAATATGTCGCTTTCGCTACATATATTACAATACATATCACTGCTTGTCCTACTTGATTTGTCTGTCTTATATCATACGAGTACATTATCGTTTGGTACTGACAACTCCGATACACACATATATACATACTCTCAGTGAGAGTACTTATATGCACATGTGTTCTTGCGGGCCATAAGCCGTCACCCAACACGGGGTTATGCTTTATATAAGACATATGTACGTATACGTCAACCATTCCCGTTCCCCGTCTTTTTTTCTCGTCCCACCACCACCACGAATGGCCACACAGACGCTCACCCCGCCGCACAACATCTGCTTGCCGTCCTACAAGGAGCTTGCCCTCGCTGCTGACATCGACGGCCCTTGTGCGGGCCTGCCGTTACAGCCGTTGCCCAGACCGACAAGCATTGTTTTGCCGCCGCTGGAAGTCGTGCGTTGCTTGGCTTTTTTTTGTGACTCCCTCAGCTAACGACAACAGCCGTCACGCCCATTGCGGAAGCAAGACGGCTTTGGTGCTGTGCACGACCACTTTCTCGACTTGGCGCGTCAGTGTCCCGCTGCACCGCCACCCAACAAGGAGTGGACCTCACCGTCCCCGTACTCCGCCTACCGTCCAACCTCCTCATCGTTCATCACACCCGTTATGAATGCTCTGCCGACGCCCATCCGAGTCAGTACCACCAACCCTTCACACTCCATCATGATCCACCACATGCACCAACCGCAGCCACAACAGCCCCCGCCGCAGTACGACCGCCTTGTGAGTGATGTGAGTGAGCCGTTCCGCTGCAGCCACGCCATGCGCCCCAAGAAGAAGCAGGTACTGTCGTGTTCCTTCTGCAGGAAGCGCAAGATTGCCTGTCGGAGGCCGGAGGACGGGAGCATCGATGAACGGTGCCAGTGTGTTTCTTTTCCCCTCTAAGCTCTTTCACCTTCTGCTGATTCCCACGAAAAAAGTGAATGCGCCAGACGCAATATTGGGCAGTGTGCCTACGCCACGGCCCGCCGGGTTTCTCTTCGGGGAAAAAACTCGCGCCGGAAGAGCGCTGGGCGGGTGGGCAACATCCATCATGATCATCAAGGTGCCGGGCCGGAAATGGAGCTCGGGTCGCCCTTGCCGTCGCCTGAGCGCAAAGCTAGTGCGAGCCCGCTGTCTACGAGGATGTCCTGCGCAGCTGCGCCGGCGTCAAACTTACACAAATTGAAAAGCACAAGACATGCCGCGATGCGCGACGCTGCCACTGGCAATGACGCACAGCTCCAATCGTCGTTCACAACGCGCGGTGGGATTCCAGTTCCTCAGACAAACGCGTGGTGAGCGTGCGTGGAGGCAGGTGACGCGCAGGTTGATTGGTAGGAGGAGATTCGAGGACAATGATAGCGATGGTACTGTACAGTGACTACATGATATCCCACCTGTACACGGGGTTTTTTGATGGCTGAAGCAGACAGAACCAGCCCGGTCGCGATACAAGGCGTGGATTGAGGGGAGCGCGCGAGCTGCGCTGCCTCATGTGAAAGTCGATGCAGTGATACTTAACCCTTGACGAAGTCGCCGATAGATGTAAAGACATGTGTTCACATACCCATCGCATACCATTCTGTTTCATCTTGGATGTCGTTATACACCATATTGATATGAATTCTTGTACTTACATTAATATTCTTTATCTCTTGCCCTCTGCTAATGTCCATCCCAGTTTGCGCCAAGCACGACCGATATTTATCTGATTATGTGACCCCATCAGTAAAAGTGCACAAAAGTCTTTCAGGTCTTTCTTTGGGCAAGACCAAAAAGATCTGAAAGACCTGAAAGACTCAAAAGACACCAGGTCTTATTTAAGCAGCATCCTGGTCTTGGAAAAGACCTAACATCTTTCCCAAAGATCACAAAAGACCACAAGAAAGACTTGGTTTCAAGACCACCAAAGATGCCCTGGGACTGTTCAGGATGCAATAAATGGAGCAATTGAATGAATTAATGATCATTCTACACAATGTATGTACACAGGCTCCCCGTCTCCGCCGTCCCAGGTTGTCGACTTCCCTTGCCCACCCCATGCCCGGTTGTGCGCCGATTCTCACCCAACCGCAGCCACTAGCGCGAACGTGTCCCTCCCGACATTCCCAGCGCAGTATGTTTCAGCCCGAGTGGGCGACCGCGCTGTCGCCACTTCTTCAGCGGCGATGTCAGCCAGCGTATGGGGTAGTCAGCCCTGTTGACGGCCTGCGCAATACCTGTATATGTCAGCAGTTAGTCTAACTAACGAGGCGGCGACACACCGGGCTGCGAACAGATCCTAAGCAGCAATGGCCCGCGTGCCAGTGGGGGATAGTGGTCGGGGCCGAGAACGTGTAGCCCTGAGAGTTGCTTGATGATAATGAGGAAAGGGGACCGGACAGGGCCTTGCAGAACTTGAGACGAACGTGGAAGTCTTGAGCTTGAGGCTCGACAACTTGAGTGCTTGAAAAAGTCGGATTTTGAGTCCAGGAGGTCTTGAGTGTTGATGAACTTGGGTTTTGAGATGATTGCGGTGGGGAATGGACGACGAGTGGGCCGTTAATGGGCTTGTGAGGTGGCGGGAGATGGGGGGAAAGGAAGAAAGAAAAACGGCGATCGATCGCCGATGTGCCATCAACCATCTGTCATACGTCAGATGTGCGTCACAGCTTTAGGGCCGAGTCTGATTGATGACTTCCGAGCCAACAACATCGTTACATTTCAGGAGCTGACCCGCCCCTGCCCCGTCTCCTCAACTCCGCCCAGAGCGCCTGTGCCTCCCGCCGCACCGCGCCCGCGCGGATGAGCCGCACCGCCTCGTCGTACGCGGGCAGCACCCCGCGCGCACCGGCGCGTTCCACCGCCGTGGCGCGTCCATCCCGACCCTTGCCCTCCCCGTTCTGTTACGGTTCCTTCGGCTCTGCAGCAGGCCCTCTCCTCCAGCCTGTTCCGCAGCGTCATCACGTGGCGCACGACGTGGAAGCCGACCCTAAGCCTTGGCACTCGTGCCTTCGCGGGGTCCGCGAACGCGCGCGCGGGGCGGGCTTCGTCCACGTGAGCGACGGCGGGTCTTGCGTGTGCGCCGGCCATGCTTCGGGGGCGCGGGCACGTGTGCAGGGCGCAGCATCAGCGCAGGGATGCTTTTCTTCTTCGGAGTCGTCGTGCCAGTGGGCGGCGGTGGTGGTGGTGGGAAGCCAAATTGACAATGACATTAACCCTTTACTATAAATGATATTGTTGGATGGTCTTCGACATTTATTTACATTCAGTTTTCTTAAGATATGGATCATGTTAAAATGAGACCTACAGTAGTATTCCCGGTTGAATGTTGCTCAGCATGGAGTCTAGGCGCTCGCGGGTGACACGTTGTCCAAAAGCTAGGGTTGTGTAGTCGGGAGGGTTGACAGGTAAAATCGTTGGCTTAGCTCGGGGTATGTCGCGGAAAAAGTGTTTCCGCGGGTCGGGTTGGTAAGTTGGCACTGGGCGAATCTTTCGCGCGACAGGCTTGTACTTTCGCTTGGCTACGATCGGCGCCTTGGCGCCGGCGCTGGTCGTGTAAGTGCGGGTTTCGGAGAAGAGGCGCGTGGTCCATGGTGTTGGTACAACAGAGTTGAGGTCAACTCCGGTTGAAATAGCGTAGTCGATGAGAATAGAGTCATAAGCTGGAGAAGGTGAAATATGGAATAGTGAATCGAATTCGGAAAGCTCAGCTTTTCCCATTAATGCTTCAAGAGATCTTCCCAAGATATTTGCATGGGGCGCGGGGAAGCTGGTTGACGCGGGCCCTAGCACCAAAAATCCTCCCCTTCCGGGAGCTCTTCGACGTACGCGGCATGGTGCGAATGATCATGGCCACGCGTCATAGCGATCGCGTTCCGCGGGTCAGCGGGATTAGTAATCGAGATGCCAATCGGGGTTGGCCACGACGCTCACCCTCTTTCCACAAATACAAGCTGACGGCTCCGCCCCGCTCGTAATCAAGCCGGGCACAGAACCACTGGAGGAATGGTTGGCCTAGTATAAGGTCGTGGGGACCGAGCTCTTGGTGGGAGACGAAGAGGTGGTGGGAGAACTCGTGCTGGCCAATTCGAAGCGGTACGTCTGTCGCACAACCTCGCAGCTGCTCGGGGTCGCCGTGGATGCCTTTCAAGGCCCACCGTGTTCCCTGGTAGTCAACAGCGAGTGAACAGCGAGTTGGTACTGATAAACTTGCCAGGTTTAGCTCCGAACCCGAATCTATCATTGCCTTCAGCTCTACACCGCCCACCGTCACTGTTAACGACCCAGTGGTCATCGCAAAGAAACGACTTGTCGGTGGTGCTTTCGCCACCGCGTTGCTGTAGCGAACGAGGAAGTCTTCAAGCTCGTACGATGGTTCTGCGAGCATTTCTTGTGGCTCGCTACTCTGAATTTGTTTGCTCGAGTACTCGCGTTTGGCTCGAGTCTGCTCGCTCATGAGCTTCTGCAAGGCTGGGCTCGCACCTATAATTTCGAAGATGGGGAGCGAGACACTCGTCTTGAGGATAGTCTCCAAAATTCCTGGTGGGTTAGCGCGCTCTTGAATCGCAGAGGTAATGTGGTACTTATCTTGCGCAGGCTTGTTGGCGTCTCTCATGACGACATCCTCACCCTGTCCGCCTGCTCGCGGCGCTCGAGCATTCTTCCAGCCGTCTTTTCGATTAATCGGGTTGGGCGGTGTCGGAATCTTATTGTCGACCACTGGTGGAGCTGGAGCTTGCGCGATTGGAGCCTTGGGCGCGTTTGCCTGAACTGGAGGTTGCGGGGGAGCTCGTGGTGGTGGCTTTGGTGCTGCTGGCGCGTTTGGTCGTTGGCCAACGGGATTATATCGGTTCGTATCCTTTCCACTGCGGGTAACTGGATTCGCTAACTGTTCATCGTAGCTGAGCGAAGAGACCGCGAAAAACTTGTTATCGAGGACTTGGGTGGAACCGAAAGCAAGACCCGCCGAGTGAGTTGCGGCGGCCTGTACCCCATCTGCGCGCGCGCGCATGTATGATGAAACACCGCCTCGCCATCCTTGCGGAACCTTGGGGAGATCAGAGCCGTCCATTTGGACATACCTTTGCGAGTTTGGGTCGACTTTTACGAGCGCTCGCTCGATCAGCTCGCGCATCTCGGGACAGTATCGCGGATGAAGTTGGTGAGTGCCGACCTTTCCACAAACAAAGCATCGCTTACCCGCGTTGGTAGCGAGTTGCCTTTCCGCTAAGTGGAGCCGCATTTGCTCCAACTGGCGCGTTAAGTCCGCAATCTGGGAGTCTGTCGAAGTCGTTGGCGCCTCGGGCGCATGGTCTTGAGCGGGACGCTGCTGGATTTGGACCGGTCGATGCTGCGGTGCCGCCTGTTGTGCTTGTGTTTCTAAGGTGGGAGCAGCTTCAATTCGATTACCAGACTCGTCGAACTCAACTTGGTTTGGGTTGTAGATCCTTTCGCTCCAGGGCTTGAATATCAACGAGTCGGGGTCGAAACGTTTCTTCAGGATTTCGACTGTCGCTGACAGTGATGGAGCGGTGTCGCGCGTACGATTGGTGGTTGGTGTTCGCTGGTAAAACCAATCCTTCAGCGAAGTTGGGATGCTGCTAACGAACATGTGGTTTGCAGTTTCTTGGGTAATCCGTTTCTTCTTGACTAGATTACCTGACATCCGCAGGAATTCTCGATAGTAGGTGTCAACTGCGGTCTTGGAAACAAACGGGGACTTAGCGGCATTGGTTTGACAAAAGTCTTTGAGCTGCTGCTCGGTGTAGTTCTGCGCTGACTCCTCGTCAGGGTATACGGCAAGTAAGGCTTTTGAGGCGGCGATCCAGGTCTTCCCGGCAGCTTCAACGTCCAATTCCGGTATGTACCTGATAATATCCTTGACGCGGTCGCTTGAGTACTTATAGATGTGGTCGACCAGCTGGTCCTTATCGACAATGCCGGCTTGGACGCCACACTCGGCGATGAGATCGAGGAAGTCTTTCGTGTACTTCCCATTGAACTTGGGAGCGTTTTGGGAACGCGGAAGGGGCATGGGGGTATGGAGAGTCGCAGTGGCTGTCGGAGTCGCCATACTTTCTAGCGACTAAGGTGAGAGAGGTGAGTTAGGGGTGAATTTTGATAACGCAGCGTCTGAAGGCCTCGATAACGGAAAACCAGCCCCCTCGCGGTGGGCTCCACTGAAGAAGGACTAATCAGTCCAAGCGAGGACTGGGAATGGGCCTAGGTCGAACCGAGGGTGGCGCTGCGGGAGGAGTAGATTGTCGGTTAAAGCTCCGCACGAGTGTCAATATCCGCGGATGTTTGCACAGGTACCTGCAGGAAAACATCTGCGGGTTTGACATCCGTGGATACAGGTATCCGTTTCCCACGGATGCCAAGAGTACAGGTATGACTTTGGAAGATCATAATTTTTATTATCTTATATATGTTTCAGTCACTATAGTCTTCTCATGTCCTATGGTGTCTATAGCAGTGTATTACTTGAAGCTATGTCCTATATAAGCTGCTTATATTGTCAATATACCTCAGTATCCTGATGTTTTATAAGAAATACCCGTGGATAACCCGTGCAGGTACCCGTATCTGTGAGTACAGGTACCCGTTTCTCACGGATGCTGCAAATGCAGGTATTGGTTTTGAAACCTAAATTACCCACAGGTAGAGTACAGGTATTTATCCGTGACACTTGTGAGAAGCCTTATTGTCGGTGGTGAAGACGGATGTGTACTTAGCTCTTGTGGAATAAAAGTTGACTCGAACTCGGAGTGGCGCTTTCGCTCGCGCTGGCTCAGGACTTCAGATGAGGGGGAAGAGTAAGAAGAGATGATTCTCCTATCCGCATACAGTGAAACCGTAACTACCGATCGGAAGGGGTAGAGAAATGAAATATGAATATATAGAGTGGCCATGGTACTAAGATCCTTGCATGGAAACTTCCGGACATGGCAATCGGGCTGGGGACAAGTCGAATAGAGCAGCGGCGCTGCTGCCCTCAGCGTCAACTACAGGGTGACCAATCCTGAGTTGTGCTCGCTCCAGTCCCTCCGAATCGCCATGCCAGTCGTGTCTTCCGCGTTGGATATGTTGAGATAAGGGAATGGAGAAGAGTGGAAAGAGGGGGAATTGAGTGGTAGAGTAGTAAAAGGTGGCTGTTAACGCCCGGAGGTGCTTGACGCGTAGATGTCGCGTGACCGTGAATACGACGTGGAAGCCATGTGGCACTTCCACACCGCCGCCCTCACTCAAACTCAAGTTCTAGGCTACACCAGGCGGCAAAACCGGTCTCCCTCGCGGCAAAACCCGCCCCGCTCGCCTCTGTGCCGACTCTCAGGCCACCAGCTCGTCAAACGAGCCGATTTGGCGGTGCTCTGGCCGCTACAACCGTCCCCCTCCTCCAACGGCTTGAAGTCCACTGCCCAACGCAGCCGTTTGACGGTCCTGATGGTCCGCGCCAACTCCTAGGCCGCCGAAAGCGCCGTTTCTGCCGGTTGCTCGTCACCAACGGTCATAACGACGAGTTCTCCCTCCTCAGAAGCAATTCCCGCCGCCATTTCTCGCCAAACAACGCCGTTTGACCGGCCGCAAGTGCTTGAATCGACCCCAGCATGAACCCTGTATCTCCCACGAACTTGCTGGCGCTGTCTTGCGCGACTGCGAGTTTTGCAAGGCAGCAAGTCGCACACAAGCTGTTAACAAGTTAGCATGTGAAAATGGCAACAAAACCGCAAGAACACGCACTTTCGCGGCCGGAACAGTCTTCGTGCCGACTCGAGATGCTCTCCCTCGCCAAACCAAGTCATTTAACCGGAAGAAACTGGCTGAATCGACCCAGCTCGACCACCACCATCTCCCGTCAATCGCTTGCGCTCTCCTCCGCGTCTCTCAGCTCTACATGTCCCAAATCGCCAACTGAGCTTATAACCGCAGTCAGCATCGACAACTAGCGTTAAAACAGCAAGAATGTGCACCTGCACGGCCAGAAGAGCTTCCTCGACAACGGCAGCCCCCCCCTCTCGTCACCCAAAAGCCAAAGCTTCAAGAACGACGTTAGCTCAATTGGAACGACAAGATAAGATATTTGAGGTCCCCCGCCGCAACGTAAGCCCCATTTCCGCGTCCTCCGAGTCCGGGAGCACGTCTGAAATTACATCAGTCAGGATACGGACGCGAAAACCGCGACCACTGCTTCACCCTCGATTCCCCGCACTCTGCAACAGTGTCAGCGAACTCGGCCGCAAGCGGGGGAGGATGAACAACAAGAAGCTTACCCTGACAAGGGGCCCATCTGCCCATCCTCTACCGTTATTACACTCGTGCACCCCCAGTGCGGGGCCAGGTTCTAATGGTTCGGCGTCCCAGTCATTGCTGGTAGGCCGGAACCAACGTAGACCCAGGTTTTGTTGGCACCCACCCACCGTTTTATTTTCATCCTGACCAGCGCCGCGACAGGCCAACTTGGCTCTGCCCCTAGGGCGAGCGGCCATGGTGCTTTGTTGGCAGGAACAACCGCTGCCCCATTCCACTCGGCATTGCAGACAGTGGGGGCACCCGGTTGGCGCTGCCCAGACCTGCCTATGGGCCCTGTTCTCGGCCCGCCGCGCACCATGTCCGAGCAGACGGCTAACTTGGCTGGCGGTAGATTCAAGAGGCGTTGAACACGCCGATAACTGAGTGTGGGATGCAGGAAAGAGGGGTGAAAGGAGGACTCAGAGGGGTGATAGGCAGAGCTGAAGCTGCTATCCATGAACCAGCGGGTAGAGCCGAGTCCTCATTTCTCGGGCTTATTCTTTCTTCCTTCAAATTTTGTGCCCTACGTGCGCGAC